TAGTTTAGTCTTCGGCCCCATCGCTCCCAGGCACAAAAAAAAGGAAAAAGGAAGAATGAAAATAAATCCCACTCACGTAGACAACCGTGTCGTCAGGCAGCGACGCGAGCGTCTCGTTCAGGGCCTTGTGCATCTCCGTCGCGTTGCCCTCGAAGAAGCGTCCGCAGCCTGAGCAGAAAAGAACAAGGTCAGCACGGACACGGCGTTCCCCGTCGGGATCCCGCGTAACGAAAGACGTACCGCCATGGAAGAGCGTGTCGCCGGTGAAGACGGCCTTGTCGTCGCCGTCCTGCAGGAACCAGCAGATGCTGTCCTGGGTGTGGCACGGCGTGTGCAGGGCCTTGACGGCGATGCTGCCGAGCTGGAAGGAGGTGCCGTGGGCGGGCGTCCTGGTGACGCCCTCGCACTGGACGCCGCCGATGATGGGGAGCTTGGCGAGGTTGAGGTCTTGGAGCTGGGATGGAGTGAGCTTCCTTCCACTGCCAAAAGGGGGTTGACTCTAGGTCTAGGGGACGTACCAGCTTCTTGTTGCCGCCGGCGTGGTCCCAGTGGCTGAGGCTCGTCAGTCATGGTTGACGTAAAACGACGTCGGGAGAACGAACTGGTGCGTGTTGACAATGGCAGTCAGGTCAATGTCCTTTGACTCGATGGCCTTCTTGAGCACAGGCGCGACTCTGCGAACGGTCAGGATCAGGAGCCAGGGCGCGAAGCCGTCTCGGGATCGAGGGGGGGGGGCTTACTTACTCCTCGGGGTTTGCGGGATCGATGATGAAGGCCTCCTTGGTCTTGTCGTCCTTGACCAGGTAGGCGTAGTTGTTGCTACTGCCCACCCCTGGCGACATGACTTAGCTCGGACCATGAGCTCGTCGGTGAAAAAGCTCGTCGGTGACAAAGCTCGTCGGGGAAAACGGGGCTGACATGGACATACACATGGGAATAGACTGGATATGCATTGCGCTGGTGAGAATACGCTGTGCCGTGTCAGTTGCAGCCGACGGAATGGCATGGCGAGGCACTCACAGGGCGGATGATGCTCGGCGTCTGCGTCTGCGTCAAGGTCCTTCGGGCTGCAAAACCAAACATGGACGGCAAATGATGCGGGCGGGATCGAGTGAGGGGTGCGTTGTCGGAAGCGACGTGTCGGCGACGAGTGCTGTGGCTGCTGGCTACGGCTGCTGGTTACGGCTACGGCTACGACTACGGCTTCGCGGTTCGAGCTGATGATGACATGGCAGGGAGCTTGACTGGCGCCTGAGCTGCGTGCCCCACGTCCGGCGCTCGTGGGGTTCTCCACACGGTCAAACGTCACCCCGTGTCATTGTGACCTCTGGGCAGCATGTTGATGGGCATGGTATCATGTTCTGCGTGGCTATTCATACTAGGAAGGAAAGGAAAGAAAAGAAACGTCCGTTGAATCTTGGTGGCAATTCAATATCTGGAATGCAGAGCGAGCTTTCTGGTTAGACGACGAGGTTATTGGAAGCAATGTTGTGACATGCGATAATGTAACTGCTGAACTCATGGTTTGCTCGTATCATTAAGAAATTAATTTGTGATTTTTTCTCTAAAAGGTATAGGGGTATATATACTAGAGTCCTCTGCATTGGAATCAACAGGCAAGTAAAAAGGTCGGCCGGCCCATCTGAGCTCAGTGAGCCAGAGGTAGATGGTTGATGCCGCAGACGAAGCAGTTGGAAGCATGGACAGTCCTGTGTGTATCATTCCTCACCCAAGAGTAGGAGCGGGATGATCTATACTCACTCCGACATTTCTGCAAACGCGGTCCACCAAAATCCGCCAAGAACGAAAATGCGAAATGCTAGACTCTCGAAGGTCCAGAAGGAAATCATAAAAGAATAAGACTCTGTCCGAGGACTCTGTCCGAGGGACGAAAAAAACACGCTTGACTCATACTAAAGTGCTCATATAAAACACATCACGAGCAGGCACGCGCTCAAACGACACCAATAGGTTTTGGTCTCCAGGTGCCCTCGTACGTCGACCACCCCGTGCTGCCGCTTGGCTCGCCGTCGCCCGAGCTCTGCTCCACGTCCATGGCAGTCTCACATGACTTCTCCTCCTCGCCCCCCGCCGCGCCCTCGAGAACCTCGCTCGACATCTTCAGCGCCCCCAGCATCAGCTTGTTCGACGCCGGCTCGTCCATGATGCCCTCGAGCACCTCGAGCACCTTCTCCTGCCCGAACCGCCTCACAATGCCCGACATGGCCGCGGCGTCGCCACCGCCGGCTCCCAGATACGCGACCACGGCACCGACGCAGTCTCCCGCCGCCGCCGCCGTCTCGTCCTCCTGCTCGTCCGCCGAGGGCGCCCCGTCCCCGAGCGCCCGCCAGTAATACTCCCAGATCCAGTCGAGCGCCCGCCGCGCAGCGGCCCGCAGCTTGGCCAGCGAAGGCAGCTGCTCGTGCGTCGCCTGGTGGCGGAGCTCGACAAACGTCGCCGGCAGACCAATCGTCTTGGCGACGCTGTACATGCTCAGCTTGCGCTGCTTGTCCTGGTGCCCGTCCAGCAGGCCCGTGACGAACCTGCCCCACGGCGTGAGCAAGATTGTCACAACCTCCTCCCACGGGAGGCGACAAAGTCATGCAGCTCAAGGAAGAGGGAAGAGAGAGAGGAAGAGGATACGCACCGGCTGAAGGCTGCTGCGTAGGCGGCCCTCGCGGCATAGGTGCCGGCGCTGCTGCCGCCGCCCTCGGCGTCGCTGAGGATGGCGGCGACGAGGAGGGCCGTCGACTCGACGAGGTGCGGGCAGCCGCCGCGCTGCATCCAGAGGGAGACGCGCGCGACGGCGTCGTGCTGGTCTGCGTGGCCGGGCCTGAGCTGGGCCTGGGGCGCCGCGTCGGGGTAGAACTGACGGCGGACGGCGAGGAGTTCGGCTCGGTCGCGCCAGGGCGTGAGGATGTACTGGACCATGCTGGGGTTTGCTTCCGCGGGGCTGGGGTGTCTGGCTTTGATGATTTGCGTGTCTGACGGGAAAGGCGTGATGGTGGATTTGTGAGATGGGACCACCGAGATTTGTAGGTGCTCACAGCAAGCAGGTGAGTAAAGCAAGATGCCTGTAAACTGTCAAAGATTGTCCTGTTCTACCGCTGCTTCTGCAATTCTTGTGCAGCTGCCCAGACCTGATATCAGATGCAGATGTGAATGTCAAAGCCGGATGACAGTGTCTGATACAGTGCGCACACGTTACATGCACAGTGCCTGTCAGAGCCCTTGAGGAGACGTAATGAGAGGGAGGGCGGGCGTAATGGGGGCCATGGCTGAGTCAGCCATGGCCCTTTGGCTCAGATGCGTGCTCCTCCTCCTCTCCTGACTA